TTAGTTCTTTCCTCACTTTGGTGTTAATTTTGCGCATAAACGAATTTTGCCCAGCCACGCCATGCCCACCATCACCCACACTACGTAGCAGCGCTGGACTAGAATCGGACACTGTGTGCACATCTACATGTGCAACACTCCCACAGATATTTGCAACACCTCGAATAAGCGTGACATCATGCACGACCGCCACATCGATCCCACTTCCAACTTCACACCGACTCGCACCAACAGCAGTGACATTAACTTTACAAAAAGCTTGCGTAACATTGTGCACCAGATGGTCAGCCAGCTGGTCCTCCAGCATTGATATTGTTTGCCATATTTCTTTGTTTTCATTTTGCAACTTTTGGATTTCCTCGTCTTTCACCTTCATTACACACTCGAACCCACCAACAATGTTCACGGCTTGCAACTCCATTTTACTCTTCAACCCAATAACTTCCTCTTTTAGCTTTGCTATCGTCCCCTCATTAGCTTTGTTCCACATTTCTATGTCTGCCATTGGATTCAATGTTTTCTCTACTTCGGTGGCAATTGCCACATCATTAACTGCATTACGCACTGGGTTGTACACATCATTTGACTTCACTCGCATGCTATCACCAGGTGGATGAGCCATGCGTACTCCCTTCTCGACAAAATCATCCGCCACATCCATTTGCAATGGGGGTTGGGTACAACAACAGTTGATTCTAGAACATTCTTCCGTGGATTGATTTATTACCCATTGCGGGTTGGGTTCGTTATCTGAACAGTGTTAGTGTCAGTTGGTGCCATTGCCAAATGTTGGGGATCAAATTATTAATGCTAGGATGATGAGTAGGAATTTGAAGGTTGGAGTAGAGGTTGAGAAATGAGAAGATGGGTTGTTTACTAGGGAGAGTGCGTGTAAAGCAGTAAAGGTTGTAATGGATGAAGAGAGTAAAATTGGGAAGGAGGTGAGGGAGAACCATGGGAAGATGAGAGAGCTCTTGTTGAACAAAGATTTGGAGTCCTCTTATATTGATGACTTCAACAAGAAATTACATGGCTTGCTTGGATGATAATTTGGGAAGTTTGGTTGCTCTTAGGACTAAAAATGTGTAGACGCTTAAATAATTTCTTGTAATTTTCTCCAGAATAATAATGTGTGACTTAGATTCAATTTATGTGTCGTGTATTGTGATTTAAAATAAAAATGTGTGATTCAACAAGTATAAAATGAATCTAATTTTTTTTAGATTTATAGGATTACATATTTATGTTAATTTGTCTCAGTGCACGAATTGTATTACCAAATCATAAAAATAAATAAATAAAGGTAACATTTAGTTTAATTTTAGAATTATGATTCTAATTAAAAAAATTTCAAAACTCATAATTAAACATTTAATTCAAAATTCTTTTCAAAATTCTAAACTCTATTTTTAAAACAAAAAAAATATATGTCAAAAAAATAAATTTTTTATTTTGTTCTGTAAAATTATTTTTTATCTTTTTGAAAAAAATATTTTTTTGGAAAATATTTTTTTATTTTTGGAGAAAAATATTTTTTATTTTTTTCAATTTTTTTAAAAAATATTTTCTTACTTTTTAAAGTATTGGCCAAATAATTTGTTATGATTTAGATATATATGTAGGATTTAAAATTATAAAAAATTAAATATTAAAAAAATATTAAAATTAAAAAAATATTTAAAAAATAAATAAAATATTTAAAATTAAAAAATAAGAAAATATTTATTATAAAAATTATATATTTAAAATAAAAAAATATGTATTTGTTTTAAATTTCTAAATATATAAAATATTTTGAAAAATGATATTTTTTTTAAAGCCCCTAATAATAATATTTTATAAAATAAATGACATATAGTATTTTCATAGTAGTTAAATTCCTCAACATTTTTATAGAAAAAACTTGATTCAAAAAAATTTGTACACGACTCAGAGAATTTCGGGCCCAACACAGAAATTTTGAAATTTCTTTGATATGATCATAGAAAAATTTTAAAATTTCTCTGGTATAATTTTCGCAAATTGTTGCTTCAATGTGTCTATATCATGTTGTATTCATGTCAAAAGTCCATATTTGTGCTTCACAGATGTGACGACCCCAAAATGTTAATCATAATTATAAGTGATTAATTATGTATTGAATTTTAATTATGATATGTGCCAAGTGATTAATTGCGAATTATCTAATTTGATTCATTGTAAATATTTGTTTAAATTGAGAAACTATCCGTTATGAGCTCGACTTTGAAACTGAAATTGACAACATAAATGGGTTAAAAAATCAAAATTGAGTACAACTCTCTCTCTCTCTCTCTCTATATATATATATATATATATTGATGTGTGTGCAACTTCAGACTTGCACTGGCAATATTCCCACTGATTTGTAGTTATTTCCTCTTGAGTCTAGATAATATCTTTAAAAAGTAATGCTAGATATTGTTAAAATATCACATTTAAATTTATGGACGTGGCATGGGATTGGATTATAATTAATTAATTTTTAAATAAATCAAATTTATTAAGAGATGATATTTTAAAAATTTAAGCATTGTCTCTTTTTGGTAAACGAAGAAAATAATGAATATATATGTATCATTCGTTAAAATATTATAATTTTTTGACAGAGTAATCTATAATTTTGTCACAAGATTTGCTGAAAATGAACAAAACAAGGTCATTTTCAATTACAAGGCAAAAACAATAAACTGATGGCTCATACACATGGTTATCAAAATCTCCATCCGAATCATAAGATTTTATGATCTTACATTTTAGTTGGACTAAATGATCTAAATCATATTAGAATCTTAAATTTAGTAAGATTTTAAAATAATTATGATTCTAGTTATAAAATTGTGTAGAATCAAATTACGATTTTGATTTTTCCAAATTTTTTTTATTATTTATTTCTTATATATGTATATATATGTGTATATCTATACAAGAAATTTAACTATAAATTCTTTCTACAAATCTCTTTTAATTTACTAAAAAAACTCTCTTTATGATAATATCAAATTAATCATTTTTTAAATAATTTTACAATTATGTAATATATATTATCATTAGACAATTTATCATTTTATTTTATACTAAAAATAAAATTTTATAATTTTCGATCCAATTCTATAATTTTCTTAAATCTTTTCTATCATTTTTGTTTAGAATCCTGATTTTAACATAATTGTTCATATATATGTTTTAGTGCTCAAAGTTTTTTAATATTTTTATGATATTTAGCATAATCTTTAACATAATCTTTATGATATTTTTTTATTCTTAGAATCCTGATTTTAACATAATCTTTAACATAATTGTTCATATATAATCTTTAACATAATCTTTAACATTATCTTTAGAATCCTGATTTTAACATAATCTTTATGATATTTTTTTATTCTTTAATTTTTGGGTGAATAAGTGCTCAAAGTTAGACAAGTACAAATTATTGCAAAATGACAAAAACAGTGTTATGAATTGGTCTCACCACAGCATTATTCCCTTGTAAATCAATCAAAACGATCACACTACTTAAATGGAATAATAATAAAAAAGAGTCCGGTTTTCTTTCAGGCTGTGATTAAATTGAAGGGTATTATTGAGGCTGTTGAGATTTATCATAAGTTCTATTTCAATAATTTAAACTGTTTTATGTGTAGAATTCGTTAAGTAATATATTCTTATAAAAAATCACGTTGATTAGATATCGATAGTTACGTGATTAAATTAGTTTTGTATAAAAAAATGTACGGTGAAAAAATAACCTATTGATAGAAATCTGATCCGATGAGATAGCTATTGATATCCGAGTAACGTAATTGTTTACAAGTATATAGTACTCGACGAGTTCTACACATTGAATGGTTCGAATTATTGAAACGAGACCCATGGTGAGTTCTCACGAGACCAACAACACTCTCTAGTCCGATCATTGACTGGAAGAAGCCAGACCAATAAAAAAAGGATAAATTACACTTATACTTTTGAAGTTTGGATTTAATATATATCGTTTGCTGACGTTTGGAAAATTACACTAATCCTCCTATCATTGTATTTATTTAGACAGAATAAAAATATTAAAATTATGCGCACTCTTTTTTTTTTAAATTTTGCTTTACTTCTTTTTTTTTCTTTCCCTTTTTTTACTTTAATTTTTTTTTAAATGTAATTTTCTTTGTTTTTTTGTTAGAAATTATTGTCTTTTATATAAATAAGAATTTTGTAAATATAAGAATTTTAAATTAATTACAGAGGTGAAAATATAATTTTTAAAATATTAAAAATAAAATATAACCAGATCAAAATTTTGAAGGTGTCAGCGTAATTTAGCCATGAGATAAGATAATACAGCAGTGATTTAGACCAAAAAAAGCGCCATTAATGCCAGCTCTAACGAGCTGGCAGTGAAAAAAAAATAATAAAAAAAAAGGCCAAAACATCACATCAGTGGGTGGGACCCACCTATTAGAGCTTCCTTAGAGCTCCTAATTTAGAGCTCTTAAACATTTTTCATTTTATCCCAGTCATTCTAAAACAATTGATTAGATGCAATTTTTTGAAAAAGTAGAGAGAAGTTGGTCATTCACAGTGGAATAGATAAAGTCTCCTCATAAAAGAAGAGTGCTGCTATTAGCACTTGCCAAAATTCTTTGGACCCCCCAATTTATAATTTTTTTTTATTATAATTATACCTTAAAGTAAAATTACATTAAAAGACATTATTAAATGGAACACCCACTTATCAAATAAGAACTAATACTCTATAATATTGGACATCCACCCCCACCCCTACCTCCAACTATATGTATTCCATGTCTGTAAACCCTAAACCTGTTACTTTTCATAACCAACCAACATAAACCCTAAATCTATTATTTTTCATAACCATCTTTAATCCTGAATGTGTCACCTTCATCACCATCATCAACCCTATTGAACTTGAAAGTTTTGCTTCAAGTATAACGTATACTTCATCACTTATTTCACTGTGTAGAGCAATGGAGGATGAGGACAACAATTCTAGAGAGACCGGCGTTCCATTGGTAAGTTTATCTGTCTTGTATTAACATTCTCGGTCGTTTTCAGTTGTTTTTGTTTTGTTTGAGCTGTTCGGTACTGGTTTGCCGACTGTTAGGATTATGTTCGGTAATACAGTACTAAACATAATCCTTTCATTCAATACATAGGTTCCGAACATTAATACAGATAGTCAGTACTATTAAACCAAATATCATCTTTATTTTCGGCATTGTTGAACTGAACAAAACCATTAGTTTCGAGACTGTTGAAATGAACATCATTTTTTCAATTTTGAAATTACATTCACACGTGTTTTCAGGGTGATGCTTCGACTAGAGGCAGTAAGGTTGATTCAAAACTTGTAATGGATTATAGTAATGAATTTGTTACTCGTGAGGTGAGTCTTTGATTGTTTTACAAATAATGTACCTTTTTTATGTGCAATAATTGGTTAGTTTAATTTATTTATTTCAGATATTCAAGAGTTAAGATGAGTTAATTCGATGGGCACGTCAAGTTGAAAGAAGAAATGGATTCGTTATTGTCGTGCAGAAATCAGATGAGGGTGATATTCGAGGTAGGAAGCCAAGACTTAGCTTAACTTGTGAGAGAAGTGGATCTTATAGGGACACTTGAAAAAACAGCAGGCCTAAGACAAAAAAAGCAAGACTGACTGGTACAAAAAAATGTGAATGTTAAAAAATTAGCCACAAATGATGATTGGATCTTGATAGTTGTTTGTGGTATGCATAATCATCCTGCTGCAGAATATCTTGAGGGTCATTCTTACGTTGGAAGGTTGTCACATGAGGAAACCTCTTTGTTGGTAGACATGTCGAAGAGTATGGTACGATCGAGTGAGATATTGGTTACATTGAAACAACATGATGATGCAAATGCTTCCACAATGAAAACAATGTACAATGCACATCATAGGTATAAAGTTGCTGAGAAAGCTAGGAGATCTCAAATGCAACAACTATTAGGTCAGTTAGCGATGAACAAGTACATTGAGTGGCATAGGAGTTGTGCAGATGCTGAGACAGTGACTGATTTGCTCTTTGAACATCCTACTAGTTCGAATTTGTTATGTGCATTTCCAAAAGCATTGTTGATGGATTGTACTTTTAAGACCAATCGATATCGGTTGCCCTTTCTGGAGATTGTAGGTGTGACATTGATAGACATGACCTTTTCAGTTGCATTTGCATACCTCTAGTATTAGAAGGAGGACAACTACACATGGGCACTTGGTATTTTGTGTAGTGTCATGGATGAAAATACTTTTCCTTCTATTATTGTCACAGATAGAGAATTCGCTCTTATGAATGCCATATGTACGGTGTTTCCTGCAACTACAAATTTGTTGTGCAGATAGCATATTGGAAAAAATGTGCTTGCTAATTGCAAAAGGATGTTTGAGACAAAAGATAAATAGGAAATGCTTATAATAAGTTGGAATATGTTGGTTATGTCATCGTCCAAAGAAGTATACATGCAACGAATGCCTTTGTTATATAGTGAGTTCAGTACTTATCAAGATGCACTTCATTATGTTACCTCATCTTGGTTGGATACATACAAGTCAAAATTTGTGGCTGCTTGGACTGACACATTTATGCACTTTGGAAAATCTACAACAAATAGGTAAATACAAACATTTAAATTTATTAGTTGTTTAGTTTTTATAACATTATTTTTATAATAGTTTATTTTCGTATATTGGGTTGAGAGTTCACATGCAAAACTTAAAAGATATCTTGAATCAAGTGAAGGAAATTTTGAGTCGAATTGGACAAGGATACACAATTTAGAGGGTTGTTTGTGGGACTACTGGGTGATAATTTGATTATCTGCTAATCTGTATCTGTTGGGTGATAATCTGATTTTTTGTTAATCTGGTTCTCTGCTGCTGTGTGGCTGGTCTGTATCTGTTGGGTGATAACCTGATGCTAATCTGCTAATCTGATGTGTGTCTGTTGCTGTTTTTGGCCTATGCTAGCACTGGTTCCATGGCTCTTTTTGTTTTGTTTGTATTTGGATTAGGTTGCATGCCTCTATTTTGGTTTGTAGTTGCTGTATTGCTTGCATCATCCCTCTCTTTTTGTTGATGTTTTCTTCCTTTCTGTAAGGTTATCCATCATCAATAAAGGGTTATTTGTTGTTGATTAAAAAAATAAAAAATAAAAGGGCAAACTGTAAATTACCCTTCAGTTTATATGTGGTTCATGCCACATTATGGGACTGTTTTGTATGGTTTATATGAGTTGTTTATAGTTATTTATTATTTTTAGAATCAATTTAAACTGTTTTGTATAGTTTCTGTTTATAGTTTATTAGGTAAGAATAGTTTAAGAGCAATGCTACGTCTATTTAAAGTCTTGCTAACAATATTACGAAAAACATATATGTTCAAATATCATTGGAAAACAGCCATCAAGGCCAATAGGATGTTGGAAGATCACCATATAATTTGACTTATAGTTTCTTATACTATACAATGTCATCATGTGTACATGCAGCATCTTTAAATTAAATGTTAAATTAAAAAAATGTATTACAAGGTTTGGCTTTTTTGAGAGAAAATATTATTTTTTTATTGTTTCTCAATGTTTACCTAATGTTTTGAGCATTCATGATATGACAAACACTTATATGACTCAAGGAACTATTTGACATGTAAACAAAATAAGACCAAATGCGATGATTAGGGATGGCTGCTATGTTTGATTTCAAAATCTCAATTTCATGTCTAACTCAACAAAAAAATACGTCAAATAGCTAAAATAGATGAATATGCTTTTCCAAGAATAACTAAACTAATATGTAACAATTTCAAGACCACAATTTATATAGCAATTGTAATCTATATATCAATTTCATCACTTACTATATGATTTTTTTTTCACCCTTTACTCTAAATTGCATATTTTACTTGAATAGTAAATCTTGTTTATCACTTATTATTCTGATGTATCATTTGGTCATGAAAGGGATGTGGAACCATAATCTTGTGGGTCACCAAAAGATATGGATCCATAATCTTGTAAATTCTCTAATTCAAAGGAATTTCACATAACCATGGCTTTGTAGGTGACCAAATATGGACAAGAGTTGAATGTTACTTAAGAATAGGATGAGTTCCCAGTATCGAGATGGAGTGAAGGCTTTTGTTCAATTTGCAATGATGAATGTAGGGCCAAATGATAAGATTTGTTGCCCTTGTATGGATTGTTTGAATTGTGAACGACATACTAGTAAAATTGAGAAGTATCATTTAGTTGTGAAAGGGATGTCCCCTTTTTATAAGACTTGGGTGCATCACGGGAATCTGTTCCCATGAATCAATCTCATGCAGTGAATGATGACATCCACAATGACTTTGGAAGTGTTGGGGGATAGAATGGAAGCAAAGACAGGCGAAGATCAAGATGAAATCCTAAATTTGTTAGAAGATGTTTACAAGGGGACTACCATAAATGATGATGAAAATGAAGAGGATGAGGAGGACGATGACAATGACAATGACAATGACGATGACAATGATGTGGCTAACAATGTTGAAAAAGAGGGCGTGCCCAACTTTAACAAATTGTTGAATGATGCTCAAAGAGAGTTGTACCCTGGGTGTCGTAAGTTTTCTCTTTTATCATTTGTTGTTAAGATGCTTCATGTGAAGCTATTGAACAAGTGGAGCAATAAGTCTTTCAACATGTTGTTGGGGATATTGAAGGACCTTCTACCGCTAAGTGATCAAGTGATTCCATGGACCCTTTATGAAGCCAAAAAATTCTTACGTGACTTAGGCTTAGGATATGTGTCGATTCATGCATGCAAGTATGATTGTGCACTTTTTTCTGGAAAGAGAATGCAAATTTAGAGAATTGTCCGATTTGTTAAGAGTCTAGATACAAGTTGAATGATGGAAAAGGTAAAAAAATTCCTCACAAGACCTTAAGATACTTCCCATTGACATCAAGGTTGCAAAGATTATGTATGTCGAGAAAAACAACAATAGATATGAGATGGCACAAAGAGAAACGAGCAGATGATGGGATATTGAGACACCCGGCTGATGGTGAGGCATGGCAGGATTTTGATAGGCAACATCCTTTGTTTTCCCAAGAGAGTCGAAATGTGAGGTTAGGGTTGGCCACTGATGGTTTCAATCCTTTTGAAAACATGAGCAACTCGTATAGTATGTGGCCTATGATTGTTATGCCTTACAACTTGCCTCCTTGGAAATGTATGAAACAATCATTTAGTATGCTGTGATTGCTTATCCCTGGACCACAAGCACCAGGGAGAGATATCGATGTTTACATGCGACCATTAAGTGATGACTTGAAGGAGTTGTGGGAAGATGGTGTGCTTACCTATGATGCCTCAACTAAATTAAGTTTTCAAATGCATGCAACTGTTATGTGGACAATTAATGACTTTCTTGTATATGGCAACTTGTCAGGATGGAGTACGAAAGGTTATTTGGCTTGTCCCACCTGTAACAAAAATGCTTCCTCACAACGGTTGAGAGGTAAGATAGGGTACACAGGCACTCGTCGTTACCTGCCTGATGACCACCCTTGGCGGAGGAGTCGACTTTATAATGGTAAGATTGAGTTCGTGTCAAGACCTTTAGAGTTATCAAGGGAACAAATCTTAGAACAATTGGATTCAGGGACATTCAAACCATTTGGAAAGCATCCAACCAATAAGAAGAGAAAAAGGGAAAATCCAGTATTGAACTGGACAAAAAAAAGCATTTTCTTTGAGTTGCCATATTGGAAAACACTTAAACTCCGACACAACCTTGATGTTATGCACATAGAGAAGAATATATGTGATAGTTTGCTTGGAACATTACTGAGTATAGATGGGAAGAACAAAGACACAGAAAAAGCACGCATGGATTTGGAAGATATGAAAATAAGGAAGGAGTTGCACTTAAAAAGGCGCGTCGATGGGTCTTTTGAAAAGCCCCCAGCATTGTACACTTTGTCCTCAGATGAAAGACATGGTTTCTGTGAGTTTTTAAAGTCAATTAAGTATCCTGATGGTTATGCAGCATACATCTCAAGGTGTGTGAACACAAAAGGTGATAAGTTAATAGGCCTAAAAAGTCATGATTGTCATGTCCTTATGTAGCGACTTCTTCCCATTGGAATGCGTGGATATCTTCACAATGATATTTGTGTCGCATTATTTGAGTTGGGAAATCTCTTCCAAGAGCTTTGCTCGAAGACATTGAAGATGAAGAATTTGGAAAAATTAGAAGATAGCATAATATTCATACTATGCAAGTTAGAGAAAATTTTTCCATCAGCGTTTTTTGATGTGATAGTCCATTTGGCGATTCATTTTTCGCGTGAAGCCATTCTTGGTGGGCCTGTGCAATATCGGTGAATGTACCCCATTGAAAGGTACTTACTAACTTATTAAAACACTAGAATACTTAAATTATAGCACAACTTGTATATATATTTATAAAAATGTGAGTGTGTGTGTAATAAGATTATTCTATTGTTTGTTTCATAGGCTACTTGGAACTTTAAAAGGATGTGTTACAAATCGAGCTCGTCCAGAAGGTTCGATCACAGAAGCTTATGTTGTCAAGGAGTGTCTCACATTTTGCTCAATATATCTGGGTGGGATTGAAACTGTATTTAATCGAGAGGAAGGGAATGTGGATGTTAGTGTGCATGAGTCGGGGTTAGAGGTCTTCGCGCAAAATGTTCGTCCTTTTGGGCTAATTACAAGGGTTTCTAATGTGTCTAAAAAAGAACGTGAAATGGCTCATTAGTTTGTCTTGAATAATAGCCTCGAACTGGACCATTATCTACAGTATGTTCTTAATATTGTTTTTTTTTTTTGTAGAATTATGTTTTCAATATAATATGTTACTTATGAATCATATGTTTGTAAGTAGGCAACACAAGAATCTTTTACAAAATGAAGGTGCACGTGACATCACAAAGAGACAGAAAAAAGAATTCACCAAGTAGTTCAAAGAACATGTAAGATATAATCCCAAACTTTATTCAGATACACTTATATGAATACTGACATGATGATTGAAATTGATGTCATTATGTAGATGAACCAATTACGAGCTCAAGGATTACCAGAAGCAACTGATGATTTGTGGTCATTAGCAAATGGTCCTAGTGTGAATGTGAATTTGTATTCAGCTTGCATTTCCAATGGTGTTCGATTTCATAG